CCACAAGCAAGGGAGAGAAGGACTGCACCAAATCCTGCAAAAAGAAACTCTAAATTAAGAAAAATAATAGGCCAACGAGGAGAGCGCAACAACACCAGGTTCAGCCAAACAAGGCAAAGAATGAGCCAAACCAATCAAACAAGCTACTAGGCAAATCCAAACCAAATAGCACAAAACAGAGATCCCCAACAACAACATATTTTTATAGTTTCCTGAGCAACATTATAGGTTTCCAATAAGGCAACAAAAGCAGGCATTAGGAGGATTGAAGCTTTAGATCTTAAATCTTTGCCAATTAAGCATTTGAAATTCTAAGCACTCAATTTATTTTTACTTTTATTTTCTTTATCAAAGCATCTGAGAATCAATTATTTTTAATAAGAATAACATTAAAATTGTGATCATCATAAAAATCATCATAGGAACCAATGTTAACCCCCTCAACCACCAAAATGGCATCTGACAGTTCATTGTGGAGCCAGTCCAAATGATCATCAAAATTCATAGCCACAGAATCATGAGGTTTCCCTCCATCCAAAATAATAGGGGAAATAGAAATATTAATTATAGGTAACTTATTAAATACATTCAAACCATCTAGAAGAAAAGGAGAAGCATTAGAAAGGACCGAATTATTCTCCTGCGACCCCAAATTAACATCAATAAAAGCACTATGCTCAATAGAATCCATATTAGGAGACAAAACTAAATGATTTCTTAAATTATTGGAAGTAATAACAGCTGCATGCATATCAACCAAAGCATTACTAACACCCTTAGTAACAAAATTAATATTATTATCAAATGGGTCGACCACATCAGCAACATTAGACAACGTAGGGATTCATAGCCATATTGTCAAGGTTTTTTTGCAATTTTATGAGGAACAACGGTAGAACACCCATTCAAACATAAATTATTGGTAGCCATGTCACTAGAAATAACATCATTTAAATGGGTGAAAAATACGACAATCAACTTTCGAATGGCCCAAAGATTTGCAATATCTGCAAAAAGGAGGGAACACCATTTTAACTTATTGTATGTATCCAAATTTATCAGGACCAATCCACACCCTATCAGGTAGCTTTTGGTGATATCTAGCTCAACTAGCACACGAGAAAACAAAGGCCTTGAGCCAATGGAGATGATGTTATCGATTTTTAAAGACTGACCAAATAAAGAACCCAATCTGTGAAGGATACAGGGAGAAAAAAGATGAGGATGACCATAAGTTAGGGAAAGAATTCCAAGTCAGAATAACATGGGATTCCACATCAACAGAAATAAGGCGACCACTTGAAAAGTTTCATATAACAATTATTCACAAAATACTAGCATTGAGAAAAAAAACTCTAATTTAATCCAAATAATTAACTAATTTTATCAGTATATGCTTAGGATTGAAGACAATAACAGAGATATTGCCATTGAGTTTGATGTTATAAAATAAATCTCTGGATTGAATCGTGAAATTCTATGGTTAAAATTTTTTCTAATAAAAGAAAACTCAAATGGAGCTGCCAAAGCAATTATCTCCTCCTCCGAATCCATAACGAAGGTAAAACACGATGGGTACGTAGTGATTTTCAGTTCAGGAAAAGTTGTAGGGGAGAAGAGGTCTCAGATAAAGTATCTAAGAAAGATCTAGATTTGTTCACCCATCCAAAAAACCTGGATCATTCAGCCACTTAACCGCCATCCAGCCTGAGGAAAGGCCGAAGGGGAAAGATCAGGTGAAAAATCCCAAAATTTGTAAAAAATGTGAAGAGAAGAAGCATGGCAGGAAAGAGAAAACTTCCTTAAGAGCAATAACCACATGGAGAGCCACGGCGAGTGGAGTCATCGATGCGAGAAGGCCAGGGAAGGCGGCTAGGGCGAAGCCATAGTAGAGGATTCAATGAAAAAGTCCAATTAGTAATTAAATCAAATTCACTCAATGATAACATTGTTTAGTTATTGATGGATAGCAATTAGCTATTTAGGAGGGTGAATCAAACAAAGGGGATCACTACAAGAAATTCATCAAATACTTGCGGTTTCACCATTGCTATTAACCGGAGGTTTGACCGCCGGTAATAAACGTAAAACAGCAAGAACCGCCGTTGGTATTAAATTTTCATGACGGCCTTTAATGTCAGTTTAGCCGCCATTTTTAAGTGAAAATTTTTCAGGGTTTTAATCGCCAGAAACGTCGCTGGAAATGTCCCTAAAATTGAACCCCCTTCCTTCTTCCTAATTTCTTTTCCTGACTCATTTGGTTTGTCCAGAGAAAACCTGCGCCCTTGCCGAACTCTGCACTCAGCCTCCTGCTCGTTCGGTTCATCCAGAGAAGCCTCAACGCCCTCACTGAATTCTGTCCTAGCGTCGCCGACTGACTGACCTAGCCATTTCCACCCGCCAGCCTTAGTCGAAGTTTTTTTTTTTCTATATTTTTTGAGTAAACACTATCAATGTGCAACTAAACCAAAAACCTCATTTTTCACTAACAATATTAATTATGAAATTATTGCTCATGATCAAATCATTAACAACATAAATTAAATATTAAGAAAATAAACAACAACAAAAATATTATCAAATAAGGCCTAAATTTCAGACTTTATGTCCTAAACTTAGATTAGTTAGATATTATGAAAATATTTTTTTTATTAATGAGCATAAACTATATAAGCAAGCTTCCTTAGTGAGAATCAATTGTATGCTTGAATTGGAGTTGTTGATGTTAAATGGTAAAGAAGAGTATGTCACATGCTACTAAAACTACCAATATGGTGGTCCTAAGCAATGACACATCAAAGATTTTTCTCTTCCAATGAAATCTGAAATCTGAGCCCTTGGCCTATACATAGATGGCCAATACTATTGCATAGAATTGAATTTTTCTATAAAAGAAGCCATGAGTTGGATGAGGCCATAAAGTGATGTGGGAGGCTATATGCTTTGTAAATGTGAATAATGCATGAGGAATATGAGTGAAGGGGATTTCTACTCAACCCATTAGTTTACATATGTGGTCATAGTTGAAGTGTAGTTAAAGGTGAATAGTTCATTTAATTATTGATACATATATAGAAAACACAATGAAGAAAAAATTATTCTTTCACTTATGAGATTGTTTTCTTTCTTTTTTAATGTGAGAGAGTGTTTGGTTTGGTATATTTGAAATGCAAACATCATTAATCCATGCACAATAAATGCTGATTACATTTGTTTTGCAACTTATTTGTGAAAGAATATGTCTATGAACTAAGTCGTTGATTGCATCGACACTACATTAAAACAAAATACAAATATGATATTTTATAGACAAGTATTCAAACATCATATATTATTCGTCTTGAAAGTTAAGTGTTGTTTTGATGATAAGAATTTTTTTTGTTAAAACTCACAGAGGGGCCTACATGTTAAATAAAAAAAAAAATTACAAGTCCTTAATGGGTTCAAATGCTTTCTACTGCTCGAAGAACTACAATAAAAAAGTCATTAAACTGCTTGATGTTGAGAATTTGGTTAAGGGGTTTTAGTAACTTTTACGAATCAAGTCAAGATATGACCAACACGAAAAATATCTGCATGATAAGGTGCTATGAACTTATGGTAATTCCTATTAGCTATGTGCGATATATTTAGGGTAGCTTTATTTTTTTAAAATTGCAGAAATACAGATGTTTTGTTTATAATTTTTTGATTGCATGTACTTCAAAAAACTATGTTGTCAAGAATAATTATTTTTTGTGATCGAGTTTGGCTTTGTTTGGAAAAACTTTACTTTTTTCTGCTTTTGAAATTAAAATTTTAAAAAATAAAGTATTTTCTAGGCCACAATTTTTATTCTATCATTTTAAAATAATATTTTTATAACAAATTCTACCATAGCATAAAAATATAAATCAAATATTTTATCCAAAGAAATACTATTGTTTTAGTGAGCACTCACCCTACTAAAAAAGCAATAAAAGAATCAACCCAAACAAAAGGCTCATCATCTTGCATTTCAAAAATGGAGCAAATTTACATAATTTGGTAATTCAATATTTTAAAATTCTACCATTTTTATATAAAAGAAATTACATAGAACTAATTCAACAAAAACCTTTCATCATACAACAATTTCAAAATCAACCTTCCACACAAACTATTGGCATTTAAAATTTGGTTAATCATTGCACAATTTGAAATGTGCAATGTTTAACAAGATAAATTAAATGAATAGAGACATCATTATTTTTCTAATTAACATACTCACTTAACTCAAAATTTAAATAGAAATGAAATTGTGATGTTGGGATCTTAAAATTTTTTTTTGAAAAAAATATAGTGCTGAAGGAGATTGATATTGTTTAAATGACCATACGACGATTCACAACATGCCCAATAGGCTAATAAAATGCCAACATTGTTTGGCTCAAATAATGTCAATGTAAAGATTTACGAAGAAAAAATCCAATAAGTCTCGATCGATCCATCGACTTATCGGCATCAATATTAGAGTGGACCGGGTCCATGGACAAAAGTAGGGAGGAATAAATGGCACCTTAGAGCAAATTGTGCATCACAGTATTCTCAAAATAAATTAGGCAGGTTAGCCACATGGGAGCCATATTCTGTTGTCATATGAATACAAGTAATTATCCATCAAAAACATCAATGGTATCAGAAGCCAGTTAATCCAAATTACCTTCAATTGTAACAGTATCAGGATTAATAGCTCAAATCTTAGAAAATGGCAAGGAACTGAAGACAAGGGAGCCAATTAATAGAAGAGAAGTAAGATAAAGGACAATGGAGGTTGCTATCCTTCTTCACCTTTATTTTGTCTTTGCTTTGTTTTTTTTTTTTTTTTTTGTAGTATAGTAGTGTGAGTGCAGCTTAGCCCAAGTCTTTTTCAAACTCCATTAATTATAATTACTTTTTCAAAGTCCCTTTCAGCTCTCTCTTCTCATCCATGGAAGTGAGGCCATCGCTGCTTGCTTTGAGTTAAAAACCAGTCCTTCCTTCTTCTCCCAGTGTAAAAGGGAAGAGGTGGCTCTCAAGTTTATAAATTGATAGACCACATAGCACTCAAGCTACAGTGAAATAGATCAAGAGCAAAAGAACATGTTTGCTTCTTCTCAACCAGGTAAGAGAGGTAGAGATGAAAAAGCACCGAGCTTGATAGTTTGATCTCTGATACTTGATTTTTTTTTTTGGAAGGAAACATAGAGTCTTCAAACATGGAGCCCAAGGAGAAAATGGGGAGAGGAAAGATAGAGATTAAGAGGATAGAGAACACAACAAATAGGCAAGTCACCTTTTGCAAGCGTCGTAATGGCCTCCTTAAGAAGGCTTATGAGCTCTCTGTTCTCTGTGATGCTGAGGTCGCCCTTGTCATCTTCTCAAGCCGTGGTCGCCTCTATGAATATGCAAACAACAGGTTCTCTCTCTCTCTCTCTCTCTCTCTCTCTCTCTCTCTCTCTCTCTCCCCCTCCCCCTCTCTTTCTCTCTTTTCTTCCCTCCCTCTCTTTCTCTCTTATAAAGATGAGTTTTTATAAGTATTTTCCTAACTTCGGGGAAAGCAAGTATGCAAGCTATAGTCTCATGTCTTTTCTTTTGGCTGCTTTTTGATTGGTTTCTAAGCAATAGATGAAGAAATGGATTCCCTTTGGTTTGTTGAGGAAGAGAAGTTTCACAAAAAGGGTTTCTTGATGCCTTCTTCCTTCTCATCTCATGTTGGGCTCTTCTTTGTTTAGCGTAAAAGTTCAATAAAAAAGGGATTTTTAGCAATATTTCACTTCTCTCATCCGTTTGGGTTTTTCTTTATCACGGAGATCTGAATCAGAAGGCTAACTGCTTCATTAAAGATGGAAAAAAATGAAATAAAGAGAAAAAACCGTGAAAGGAGCAGTTTTTTTTACCCAATATTGTAATAAAAATAGCTAGGCATCTTCCTCTCCTCTTTTTTATTTCCATTTTCTTTATAGCTTCATATTGAGATCAAGAGATCTGAACTGTGATTGATTCTGGATTCAGCTGAGTGAACGAAGCTTAGATAGATTTAGTACTGCTGTGTTTATATTTGCTTCCCCTTTCTAGTCTTCTTCTTCTTCTTCTTCTTCGCATTTCAGCTAAAATAATAATAAAAATGTCTCCTTTCTCTATTGCTTCGAATCTCAATCTTTACAATTTAGATCCAAGCTGTTACCACAAAACGTCCTTCTTTCTCTCTTTAAACGTCACCCATCAGAGACTGAAGGAGCTGTCACACTTCCATTAGCCCTTTCCTAATTAAACAAAGCACCCTTATCTCTCCACACAGGTAATTAGGGTTTCCATTAAAAAAATTAGGATTTTTCTATGATTACTGTTTGTCATGAATCAAAATCAAATCTTTGTTATAAATATCACGAGATTGTTCCATTTCTTCAGAAACTGACACCATCCCTTCCGCCATTTCACCATTTCTCCACAAACCCTAAAAATCGAATTTTTTTTTTCTCCATGGGAGAAAGGTTTTCGAGGTCATTTATGAGAGCGGTCTCACCGCGAGAAGAAAGATCAGAAAGGTACGAAAGAGGAGCCAATGGGATGAAGGCAATCCGTACGAGGGTCTTGCATGGGGAGTTTCCAATGGAGAAGAAAGGCATAGGCGACAAGGTCAAGTAGGGTAAAAAATGGAGTTTTGAGTAAGAAGATGATTATACAGTGGGTAAAGGGTTGATTGTCTCCACGTGGCGGATTCAGAGATGAGAGGAAGAGCAGCCAATCATATCGTGGGATCTCGTGCCAGCGTGGCAGATGGGAGCCAATAGGATCCTCGAGGAAATTAAGGTATCAATGCTTGAGGTGCAGAAAGGGAGGCAAGTTACAGTATAGGTTGTTTGAACTTAAATTTTATTTCAATATAGATTGTTTGAAGTTATTTGACTGTATGAACATATCCCCAATGGTACAACCACTGATTATTTTATCATTTTTCAGAAGAGGCTTTAGTCAAAACCAATCCAATCAATTTTAAAGCTTGAAAGTTTGCGCTGGTTTGTATAATAATGTATGAAAATTTGCTATATGCCTTTTTTGGTGAGGAAAAGTATGCGTTGAAGGAGGTTGAGTTGACTTGACGGTAATGAAATGATATAACCTTGTTGGAATGTCTTTTGGTGTTTTAAATGGACAAGACGTGTTCAAAAGTTTTTTTTTTTTCTTTTGCTTGCAGTTTATATGCAAGCTTGCAAGCAAGCTTGATAATTGACAGATGGAATGAATAGATTTTATATAATCTTAATGACGAAAGATTTGTCATGTCAAAGGTTTCTGGACAATAGATGAAGCCTGGTGTGTTGGAATGATAGCTTCAAATGATGATAACATCTAGAAAAACAAGCAAAATCTATAAGAAATCAGAGAGGCAAAATTTTGTATTTGACAGTGAGATCTTCGAGAATCTCTAAGCTTGTTTTTTTTTTTTTCTTTTTTTTAATAAGGTTTAACATTGTGGAGAAGAAGAAACAGAGTTGAAACTGGTTTCATCTTTGTTTCTCAATTTAATATGGTGTATAGAATTTTGCTTCTAATACCATAAGAGTCCAATGACTATTTGAAGGCTACTTATTCATTCTTGTTGTTTTCTTGAGGGTTTTTTTTTTTTTTTTTTTGGTTGAAAAGTAACTTGCAGCAAATCTGTTAAATGTAAATGCAGTATGTTGAAGACATTTAGTTTTCTAAAGAACATTTATACTCAAAAGAGTTGTAAAATCACTTATTTTATTTAAAATCATAATATTACATACAAGCATTCACTTTAACTTGAAACTCTTATAGGAAGGACAAAGATTGCTGTTGGCATATATCAACTAAGGGATTGTTCCTATTGTCTATTTCAATGCTATATATATTTTGCTTGTAATCTAGTTGATATATTACATCTATAAGACTAGTAATAATGTAATTGCATTTTGTGTTTATAAATTAAAAAATGATATAGCTTTCGAAATATAAGTACAATTTTCAAAAATTAGTTATTTTATTTTATTGAAATTAGAACTATATTAAGCATTTGTGTGTTTAAATTTTAAGTATTATATTTTCAAGTTTATCACTTTAGCATTAGCGAGTTAAAAATTCTTTTAAGGACTTGTACTTTTTCTTTTAATTAACGCATAAGCCTATAAGTGGTTTTATCCAAAAAAAAAAAAGTTGCATAAAAAGTAAATTGCAAATGAGCTATTGTAAATGGTATTAAAGTATTTTAAATTTACATATTCCTTGTATATATATAGAATTTCTTATGTATCCAAATTTGATCTTTTTTAAAATGTATCCCATTGTCTTTTGGAAGAAAAGTTGATTATGTGCATTTTAAAAAGGTTAGACATAGAAAACTTAACATAAAAAACAAAACCATTTGATTACCTGATAATCGAAAAATGTGTTTTCTACAAATATAAATATGTCTATATTAGTCATCTGTTAGAATTATATGAGTAATTAATTAGACAAATTCAATCATTTGAATACAAATTAAAGCCCAACGTTGTAATTAATTTTTGTTAGATAGTGTCAACTTACTTTTAAATGTTAGTTTAAATCTAAATTAAAGTTGACAGAAGTTTTGTTATTTTATATGTAAGATAATCAAGGTGGATTTAAAATAAAACAAATAAATTAAGTATCAATAATCCACCTTTGTGTCTTGATGCACCAAAGCAATCAAAAAGTTGAAGAGACAAGAAACAAAACAAATGGATACGAGAAGTTCTAGCAATGAAAAATGATGTGTGTCTGCTTTATTTTCAATGTAAATCTAATTTCATGTATCAAATGTAGAGAAAAGTTTTGGCTCGATGTAAGTAGAGTGATCAGTGTACAAGGTGTTGCATCATCCATCTTGTGATATCCATAAGAATGTCTATGAAATGCAACTACATTTACTAGCTGACGAGTTATACCTCTGATGTTGGTTAAGATTACTGTGCGGGTGTTCCCCACAGTGTTTTAGAATACATTTATTTGATTCAACCATTTTATTCTCTAATTTCTTGGTGCTTCAAATATGTGGTTTTTATGTTTTAATCCATTTTTTAGGGATGGCAATTAGATTGTTCATACCATAATTATTAGGATGTGAAAGAAACTTTGGATGTAGGAATATTTTGTAAAATACATGGGAAGCAAATAGTTAAATAGACAAGGGAGATGGAACTCAAAAAAGTATATATATATATATATATATATATATATAGCAATCTTAGTTACATGTTTTAAAAAGAATCACTTAAATAAATAAATCTTTAATACATGAGTTTTTTGGGAAATGCAACATGATTTTATTTCATGAACAAGCTAATGGTAATAATGAGTAGGGATAGAACCAATGACTTTATGGATGAGAGATGAGGTTCGACCACTAGGCTAAGGCCCAATTCCAAAGGTGTTCCCAATGTACATACATATATAAGATGGGTGACATGCAGGCTAATTATAACATAAGATAAGCACGAGGCCATGTGCGAATCTAAAACATTTATCTTGATTGTGTCCATTGAGATTGATACTTGAGATCATTAATTAGAAACCAAGAAATATATCAAGCTAAGTGGCCTAGCACCAGCATCACTGGATAATATAACGGGTCCAACTACTTCGACTCAATTAAAAAAAGTTGCAACTGAGCATATAGCACCCGTCACCAAGATCCAATTGAAGACCATAACCCATGAAATTTCTTATTCAGTTGTTTTATTTGATCAGTATGTGGATATTATATATGTGTCAAAGTTTTATATAATGTATGTGTGATTGGATTAAATTTAAATTCCAAGACTTTTGAAACTTAAATTTTAATAATATGAGGATATTAATATGTTAAAATGAGATATTATAATTGATTATAATATTTTTAAAAGGAAGGTTAGCCATGAAGGTTAGATGAATTTATTCCATATGATAGTTATTCCCTAAAGACGTGGTTATATGTACTTATATGTTGGAGGCTGGCCACCATAACTCCTCCCTCTGCTACTAATTTGAAAATAGTGACTTTTAAACACTTATAATAACTTTTATTTTTTGTAGAATAAATTTCTTAAAACATTTAATGATTGAATTTGGAGTAAATTCCAAGTGATGGCTAGCTTGGTGGTCACCAAATCATCTTTAGTGAGTTAATCGGTTTTATCATTCCGTGTTTTGTAAAAATATTTTATTTTGAATTTATTTGGCTCTATACCTACTCTGGGATAAATTTTTTCCTCAAAAAAAAAAAAGATCTACTTAGACCCTCCTATAGTGGTCGGTCAAACCAAGGATGATATCTTACCTATTGTTACTCTAGTTTGGATTTGGTGACCTTAAACCCTTTCTAAATTTTGTGAAACTCCAAAGCAAAACTTAAGGCATCCTACTGTCATTCTCCAGCTAATTTTAGAATTTTCTATGATTCTAAACTCTTCCGCTAAAAGCATAAATCCTAATTAGTCAAATTAGCCAAACTAGAGTTTTTCTAAATATGGCAATTTTAAAATTCCCAAAAAAACCGAACTTCTCAAAAAAGTTATGAAACCTTTTCGATCACAACTAGATCATCTTCTCTAACTCTCGAAAGTGATTTGAAGGTTTTTGGGCAAGTATTTAGGGAGGTCTAGCCAATTGAAGTTAGTCTAATTATGCTATCTAAAATTTCATACCCAAACTCTAGGCTGACCCTTTTTACACTCCCAACTTACAATTCACCACCAAATTAAGTCTACCATATTTTTCACTTGCATAAGACGCTTGTAAAATGTTACAACTCAATTTAACCCGCATAACATGGCCTCTCCTACAGGCCACATTAAGATAATGTTTTTTTTTTTTTTTTCAAAGGTTGAAATATATATATCAAATCTTCATTAGGTGGTCAAATTAGGTCAATGCATCTATAAGTTAGGCACACGATCCATTATAGATATATGGTGCGCATAATGCTAGTTATAAATATCAAATCAATATGGATCTAAAGAAATTCATTATAATTCTATTAGCCGAGATGTTGTCAATTGAGCCAAAGCCCTTTGTTAAAGCCAACGTAATAATTATACAACAACAACAACAACATCAAGCCTTTATCCCACTACGTGTGGTCGGCTACATGAATCTTTTTTCTCCATTGTGTCCTATTAAAAGCCAAATTCTCGTTTAAATCTAATAAAGAAAGGTCATTCCTAATATTTTCTAACCAAGTCTTTTTAGGTCTACCCCTACCTTTCTTAACACAAGTCAAATCTAATACCTCTACTCTCCTAACCGGGTCATCGGAAGGCCGCCGTTTTATGTGACCAAAACCATCTAAGGCGACTTTCTCTAATCTTATCTTCTACTGGAGCTACTCCAACCTTTTCACATATATGCTCATTTCGTATCCTATCTCTAAGGGTAAAGCCACTCAACCACCTGAGCATTTTCATCTCTGTCAAACTTAACTTAGTATTATGCTTCTCTCTTAAAGGCCAACATTTGGCACCATAAAGCATTGCAGGCCTCACTACCATCTTATAGAATTTTCCCTTAAGTTTGAGGGGTACATTTCTATCACATAACAAGCCTGATGCATTCCGCCACTTCAACCATCCAACTTGAATTCTACTGATAATATCCCCATCTATTTCACCATCACTCTGAACAATAGATCCAAGATACCTAAAACGTGTACTCTTATTAATGACTTGATCGCCCAAAGTCACAATCCCCTCACTAGGTCTATTACTACTAAAATTACACTCCATATATTCCGTTTTAGATCTACTCAAGCGAAAACCTTTAGACTCTAAGGTTGACCTCCATAATTCAAGTTTACCTTCAACTCCCTCTCTAGTCTTATCAACAAGGAGAATATCATCAGCAAAAAGCATACACCAAGGTACATCATCTTGCAAATGTCTAGTGAGAACATCCATGACTAAAGCAAATATGGTAGACATGTTACGATCTCTTATTTATGGTGACAATTATTTCAACAAGGTCAGCATCTTTCATGCTATTTTTCTTAAGTCATGAACCATTTGAAGGCTAAAATGGACTATATTTGAAGTTAAATGTCCTCCTTAAGAAGTTATTGGACAGCACTTAGCTGGTATCGCAGAAATAAAGGATGGGAAGAATAATTCAGGATAAACTCAACATGATTTTTACTAATCAAGTTAAGAGTATAATGGATGCTTTATGCCGACCAAAAATAATAATAATAAATCCAAGATATAATTAAATTTTCTTAATATATCATAAGGAAACTAAATAGCTATTATTTGAAGGGTTTTAATGGGATATCATGGAGCTATCTTAAGAGAATTCTTCTTTTCTATCTAAGAAAATAAAGTAACATATATCTAAGGCAATCCAAATCTATCCTAAATCAATCAACCCCTCAACCCATTTTCATCATGTCCTTGTTGTTTCACTGTTGTGAACAGGTGTTAAACTTATGTAAATAGCTCCTAAGGAAGGATATTGTTAATCTTTTAGTGTCTCCAAAGAGGCATAGGAAACCCTTATGGATTACATAACATGATATGTGTTTTTGTCAGAAAGATTAAGGATATAATTCTGTACAATCAAATTATAATATAATTTGCAGCAATGATAATTGAATTTAATCATCAATTGATTGAATTTGTGTAAACTTGTGTTATTTTTTTTCTTTAATCAACTTTTCTATTTTTGCTTATTTTTTCTCTCATTACTTGAATTAGGTTTCACTTATTTCCTAATAGAAGGCTTCTAGAAACATAACTAAAGTCCTTGAGAGCCTTATGGATCACATGCATAAGGATAAAAATGACAAAATGATAATTATTCATATTTGCCTCGACTTCTTCATTAATAATGTTAATGTCTAGGGATCATTTAATAAATGTAGAATCAAAATATCCAAATCTCAGTCATCTTTTTTGTTTATTCGCTTGGCTACCAACCAAGAGAATAAAAAGAGGGGCACTCTTAAGGAAAAAAGAGGAGTTGTTGGTTTTAATTCCAACAATGGTTAAACTTCCAACCATAGTAAGGGAAGCTCTCATTTGAACTCTTGCAGTCATCTTCTCTCCATATGTCCAACCCTCATATTCATAGTAGGAGTTCTATTCTCCCTCAATTAATTAGTGAAACAGATAAAATGTTTTGTGCTCTTATTTTAAACTTTATATGGAGTATAATCTCTGCACACCCCTTTTCAAGCGAAGATGGTTACTGTATCTCTATGCAATCATGAATATAGGTAGATCTCATTTAACCAAATAATCTTTTGCTTGCTTTTGGTTGTTTTTTAAAATTAATTTCACTTGGTCACTTATTTTGTGCATTCATTCTTTTTCCCTAATTAGTTGATATATGAAATAAAATAACTTTGATCTTATTTAAATTTTTCTTCAAAAATCTAGTGATCTAAGTAGATAAAGTTCATTTTTTGTAAAGTGTGAAGGGAACCATTGATCGATACAAGAAGGCAAACTCTGATAATTCCAACTCTGGATCAATATCTGAAGCAAATTCTCAGGTAAGTTGTTTATGCATGATAATAATACTATAAATTTCTCTATTTTCTTTTTCTTTGCAAGTTTTATAAAAATAATTTAGTTTTATTTATAAGCTTGAGATTGATGAGTAAACATTTTTATTACTCCTGTGTTTGTGCCTGTATGGATAATACAAATGTGAAGAACTTTTTTATGTTAAATTTCAACTTTAAGGCTAGCTCGAGACTATAGGCTTTGTTTGAGATGACTTTCTTACTGCTTCTTAAAGCAGCTTTTAGTACAAACTTAAAATTTTTACACTAAAAAGCTGATTTAAGATGTCGTAAGAAAACCGTCCCAAACGAAGTCTAAAAATGGATCAATACTGATAGAAATCGAATGAAGTAGAAACCTTAAAATATAATAATGCCTTTTAAGTTAATTTTTTTGTGAACCAACATTAATGAGTTGATTATAAAATTACCAAAACTGGATTTAATCAAAACATACACACCCTATCAAGGAGCTAATTTATACAACCTTATGATACTTTTAGTAGAGAACATGCATTAAATGAACTGTCATTAATCTATTTTATTTAGCAAATAATTACTTGCAATTGAATAAACATTTAGGCCAAATGAAAGTTTTTGAAATTGCCAATCGATCATTGCTCAACTTTTGTCTGGATATTTCATGATCATGAAACCAGATTTGGTCATCAGTAACTTAGCTAGCCTTCAGTCTACAATTATGTTGATTTTCTTATATAATAGGATTTTATCAAATATATATCACTATTCCATTTAAATATTATATATGTTTGTCAAATTGATGATCTCTAGCTCTGACATTTCTCTATTTCTGAACAAGTATTACCAACAAGAGGCCACAAAACTACGTCAGCAAATCACCAACTTACAAAATTCCAACAGGTAATACAAATATCTGATCAATGATCCTTTTTTTAACTAAAATTGTAATTTGTATAGAATTTTTAATGCATTTAATTAGGAATTTGCTGGGTGATGCTCTCACCACCATGAGCTTGAGGGACCTGAAACAACTGGAAACAAGATTGGAGAAAGGCATCAACAAAATAAGATCTAAAAAGGTTTAAATTTGATAAATTCTTACAAGCTATTAATTTCAATCTATTTAACCAAATTTGTTATAATTTTCTGGTTGCTTTGCTCATTCAGAATGAACTGTTGCATGCTGAGATTGACTACATGCAGAAAAGAGTAACAACAACAACAACATAAATTCATTTTAATTGAATATTTTTCTTACTTCATTCAGATTGAATTTATATTTATTTACTATTTTGCAGGAAATGGACCTGCAAACTGACAACATGTACCTGCGTAATAAGGTTGGCCTAAGTTAGTCAGGCTTCGTTTGGGACGGCTTTCTTTCTGCTTCTTAAAGCAGCTTTTTAGTCTAAAAATTAAAATTTGTATACTAGGAAGCTGCTTTAAAAAGTAGAAAGAAAGCCGTCCCAAACAAAACCTCAGTCTTTAAATTCTCACACCATAAATTATTTTCAATGTAGTAACTATTCAATAAATTAATTAATTAATAAAATATCTCTTACTCTCACAAAATCAACAGATTTGTCTGTGATATACTGTATGTTATTGAAAAATATCAACTTTATATAATTTTTTTTCTAAAAATAACTGTGAATATATTTTGAAGATATCTGATAATGAAAGAGCACAGCAGCATCAGCATATGAATATATTGCCATCAACAAGCGCAGAATATGAAGTTATGCCTCCATTTGATTCCAGAAGCTTTCTGCAAGTTAATCTGTTGGATCCCAATGATCATTATGCTCACCAGCAACAAACAGCTCTGCAACTTGGGTACACATTGATAAATATTTTGATGTTTATAAGGAATATATCTACATAATTTGATCCAGCAGTTATATATTCTTTGAAAACAAAATTTTCAGGTAATGGAGAATTGCTGCAATGATAGCTTGGAGATGCTAGCTGAGTTTCCCAAGTATCAGAAGAAAATATATTTGGTATGTTTTGTAAGGAAAGTCTGGATGCAAAGCTTAAGAGTTGGTGATGGTTGTGCAATAGACTTTTCTCTATATTATTTTATGGAACTGGTGTCATAGGCTTGTTCAATGTTGAGACTTTATAAGATATTATATGTAGGAGTATCATAATCTTATTTGATGGTTTTTCAATAGTTCATATGAGCAGTAGCTGATAAGAGAAGGATGGAGGATAGGATTGTCTTCCTTGATTTGGAATTTATCAAAATATAATTATATGATTATTTATAGTATGAAAACTTCATTTATACTTTATTTTGTAGCTATATATATAATACAAAAATTTCTTCCTCTTAAATTTGGTATATAATCATTTACAAAGCTCAAGCCAATAATGAATTCCAGGCATAAATCTTAAATCATGAAAGAGGAAGCTTTGAGGATTGATTTTGTTATGGTAAATACTATGCATTTTTATATGCTAATGTTATCAAACAAAAGAGGAAAAAATTAAGTTTTAATATTTTGATCAATGTTTAATTATGATGGATTTTGAAATCTTCGGATTTATTTTGAGATGAGTGCAATATATGAATAATCAATATATTATACTTATCTCAAGACAAATCTAATTATTTTCCTCCCAATTAGGATCTGCATTCAATGCATCAATCATTTTATAAAGATCAAATTAATTTATAACTTTTTTTTTTGTGGATAAAATTGACGGAGGGACCTATGTGTTAATATAAAAAAATATTTACAAGTACTTAAAGGATATCTAGGGCCACTAAAGTTCAAATAGTTAGATCCAAAGCAAAAAAAATGAAACTAATTAAATGCTTAAGATCCCTACTAAAATACAATTAAAGAAGAAAGAATATTCTATGAGAAAGCAATGAGCCGCCATTCAAAAAGGAGCCAAAAGCCAAAACAACCAGACAAGAACAGAGCATTAGTAGAAGCAAACCATCAACACCAGTCCATTCGACCAAAATCCAAAGGCATAGTCCATAAACCATACCTGTAAGAAAAATAAAATGAAACAAACTTCCAAACATAATCAGAAAAGCACATTCCCCAAAAAGAAAAAAATACACCACCAAAACAGAAGCTGATCAATAACCAGATGACCAGCAAACACAAATAACCAGCCAGAGAACAACCAGATAAGTCCACCACCAAAAAAAAAACCCAAAAACACTTGCTAAAAAAAACCCATACCATAAGGCCAAAGCACTAGAGGAACAAAACATTGCCCCAACACCAATAGCAGAACTAATCCAAAGACTGATTAGAATGAGCATAGATCTAGTAGTTCTGCCAACATTTTTTTTTCTGTTAAAACCCACGGAGGGGTGTACGCGTTTATAATAAAAAACGATTACAAAATCATTAAGAGAGACCATTAGCTCGCTACTTCTCAAACGAGCTATAGAATAAAACAAAAGAAAACCTAAGAGCTGATTTTTTCCACTAAGCCAGATTAAAAAAAGACCTAATAACATGCTAAAGATGCCCAAGCCTCCAAAAAAGAAAGATCAAGATATATGAACTTGAAGCACAATCTTCCTGCAAAAATCATTGAATCGAAGACAGCCATGAACCAATCCACCTGAAAATAAAAGAGGCTGCAACACAAAAAATTATAACACAAAAGAGCATATATGTGATATAAATAAGAGGCAAAACCTAACTCAATAAGGTAGTAAATATAAAAATGACTGTAAGTAAAAAGAAGCTGCCAGGAAATAGAACCACTAATAGGATGAATACTAAAAGATCTTAGGTAAGAATTAAACTAGAAAACATCACCCAGGTGTTCCACATGCCACTCAATCCTACCAACAGGAATAAGCATAAACACCCAACCATAACTGGACACAGCAGAACACCCCAAAGCCTCCAAGTTAACCCCAACCATCAGGCCATGAAATAACCATAAGGCAACCCAGCCAAGAAATCCAACACCAGAGTAGTAACAGGGGAACCCCAAAGCCCCAAAACACGGCTATGGATACCCTGTAACGAGCCCACAAAATAGCTGCACCAAGCAACCCGACAATACACTACAGCAAAATCACCCAAAACCGACGGTTTTTTCTAGCGGCTTTGATGGTAAAACCGGCTGTTTTCAAAACCACCGGCGGTTCTCAAACCGCCGGAAAAAATGGCGTAGGAAACATTTTGCCGGCGGTTTTTGCCGACGGTCTTCTGGCGGCTTATACCACCGGTTATTACACAGGTTTGTACCGGAGGTGTTCCGGCAGTTGCGCCATCGGTAAACGCCGATAATTTTACCGACGGCTCACCGGCGGTCCCTTCACCGATGGCTGGCCGGCGGTTACAGCGGTCAGCATGCGTTAGATAAACCGCCGGCAAGCGTCAGTACATCGTCGGTACGACACCGGCGGTTACCCGGCGGCTTGGCCGACGGTCTTACCGGCGGTCTAGACCGCAGGCCTTTCACCGGATGACCGACGGGTGCTGTCGGTAGATCGCCAGTATATTACCGACGGTTAAAAGAAATTACCGGCGGCGTCAATCAGTCGTCCAGTATCGTCATTTCCGGCGGCTAAACTGCCGATTAGCCGCCGGAAACCTGTAGCACCTGAAAAAAAATTGACAGCTTCCCTTCTATTTGAGGGAGGTTCACCCTAAATTCTAAACCTGCACATAAAGCAATATATAACACCAAGTTTTGGACAACACGCTGCTATATTCAATCAACCATCACAAATATATACATAAGCACAACCAAACAAAATAATAAATGTAAAAAAAGTTAATATGTTCAACCATCAAACATAAGTTCACAAGTTTACAAGTTCATAATAAACATAAAAAAGTTCTACTCCTCAGCTGTATCCTCGCTGTCTCGAGATGCTTGTCGTTGTCTCGAGATGCTTATTGCAACCGCCGTTATTACCGGCGGCCATATAACCGCCGGTCAAGGCCGCCGGTATTGGGTGTTTTTCCTGTAGTGGCGGCACAAAAAAATGACAGGATAATGATGGACTTGCTCAATGTAGAGAGAAGTGAAAACAAAAATCCCACCACATAATAGGATTCCACATTTAAAACAGGAAATAAAAGCTTTAAACATCATAGACATAACACCAAACACACTAACACAATTAAAATAGCACAACATAAGGACCACCCAAAGCTTTAAGCAAATTAGACTCGCCTTAATAAACAACACCATACACACCAATACACTTAAAAGCACCCAGCAAAAACAATCCATAAAACAGGGCACAAACCACATTAACGGATAAGCAATGAGCCCAAGGAAGACAACAAAATATAAAACATCAACATCAACACCCGAAGCTTAAAGCAACAACACTATGAAATCCTCAAACCTTCCCATATATAAAAATGAACAATACGAACACCAACATAAATAAGTAGCACCAGAAAGACCAATTAAATCAGATAAGAAATCTAGGAAAAAAATAAATACATAAGGCATCCTATAAAGATAAGCCAAAAATGAAATAGGAACTGCAAACCAGATGCCTGAGAACCAAAGCCAATAAAGCCAACTTGTAAACCAAGCACCCCAGACCAACAACTAGAAGACAACAAGCTAACACAAACCAACATAAAAAATCAACAAAAAATACTAAACAACACCTTAGCCATAAAGAATCAAAGGCACAAAACCAAATAACAAATCAGATGGATGAAAAACCACAAAAAAACATAAACAATAGAAAGGATCAAGCATTTCAAATATAAGGCAGACCAGACTTATCCAAATTAATTAAGCTTTCACCATGTGTAGTAAATTCATAGCATTAAAGTCCTGATAAGCAATGAGATGAAAACCAAATTTAACCAACCAATATGCATAATGATTAGCTTCCCATTGACTATGAGATCGAATAGTAATTCAAATTGTTGAGGAATTGCTTAATTTTTCTAATAAGATAAAAATTCTTAGGGATACTAAAGCAGGGGCGTCGGAACTGGTTTCAATTTTGAGGGGGCACTACAGGAAAAACGTCATTTTCCAGCGGACATTTTCGTCAGAAAAATGGCCAAAATCCGTCAGAAAATAGCATTTCCGGCGAATTTCCGGCGAAAATTTTTGCGCCAGTTTCACGCGCGTCGTAAAAGGACTTCCGGCGCAAAATAATGCGTCGGAAATATTTCCGGCGCATTTCCGACGAAATTTTTGCTGGAAAAATATTTTCGTCAAAATTTTTATACGCCGGAAATTTTATGCAAAAAAAATTTCAATTACACAACAGCTGCAGCTGCCTCTGGCATAGATCTAATCCATAATACAAGGCCATGAGCTCAGCAGTAATAGCATTACATAAATTTAAAGGACCAACAAAATCAGCTATAACAATATTACCTTTGTTCCTAATAATACCTCCAGCACTAGCACAACTGGCACCAAGAGACCCATCGGAATTTAATTTACAATAAGGCATTAAAGGTTTAACCTTCCTCACAATTCTATCAAACCTATCAAAAACCCTGGAGACGTTATAAATACCCAAATCAATGACAATAGCAGAACACTTGTTAAAGTTAGTAACCGAGATAAGATTCACATAGTATAACTGCAAGATTTTACTTCTCACTTTGGTAATGATGCGAATGACCTCCATCTTAATATTATTATGCTTAGAATTATTTCTAGCAATACAAAGGAACTACAAATTAAGGATTGGCAATAACTTTAAAATATGGCCTTTAATGGGAGTATACCAATACCGTAAAATAAAAGACACATTACTATTGCTATTAAAGTCACCCTAGTTAGCCAAATCAAAAAAACAACTCCAAATGTTTTGGGCAATATCCCCATTAACAAAAACATGATTGATAGTTTCGATATTAGAGCAACATTGAAATTTCGATGGCATGTTAAAACCTTTTTCTATTATCAACTCATCAACGAGAAGAAAATCATGAAAACATCGCCAAACAAGAATAAAATATGATAGAGGAATGTTCTTTAGCCAAATAGAAGAATAAATTAGAGACTTTTCATAATTATCTCTAAAAGTATTCCACACTTTCTTTAAAAGGAAATCACCCAAACAAGATAACTGGAAAAGAATCTTATCCTCATCATGCATATGTAAAAGAATTATTAAAATAATATCAACTAAAATATGAGGAATACCATCCAATAATTTTTTAACACACCAATTCTCATCCTCAATAAATTAATTATTAACCTTAATATCACTACAGGAAAAACCCTGATTTCTGGTGAAATTATCGGCGAAAATAAATCCATCAGAAATCCCAACATATTTTTCGACGAATTTTCCGTAAAATATTTTGAGCGGATTTTTCGACAGATTTTTTACGGATATTTTGGAGGTATTTCTGACAGATTTTCTGTCATTTTTTCCGACGACTTTTCGATAGAATTTCAAATTTTCTAGAAAATGACAATTAGAAATATTTAAAATTATTCATTTTATTAAATTAAATTGAAATTTATTAAAATAAAAAATATTTAAAAGTTTAAAAATTTATTGTTAAATTAAATATAATAATTATTTTGATCTCAAAAA